AACTGGCGGTCAGTTTCAGCAGCGGCTGAATCTGGACGCCAGTTCCGACTTACATACAGATTCAACTTAGGGACTGTAGGTTTGTTCTTATCTTGTACGTAACCCGGGGACTGCCTGTATTGGTTAAAAGCTAGCTTGGTTTAGAAGGTAAGTGAAAGCAGCCATATATAACGAATGGAAGGCAGGGAAAGTACGGCTATAAGAGACGGTCAGTTTCAGCAGCGGCTGAATCTGGACGCCAGTTCCGACTTACATACAGATTCAACTTAGGGACTGTAGGTTTGTTCTTATCTTGTACGTAACCCGGGGACTGCCTGTATTGGTTAAAAGCTAGCTTGGTTTAGAAGGTAAGTGAAAGCAGCCATATATAACGAATGGAAGGCAGGGAAAGTACGGCTATAAGAGACTATAGATGCGACTAGTTGCTTCCCCACCCCTTGTTGCCTCTATCAGAGAGAGGTAAGTCGGTGTGGGGACTAGGAGAGCCAGTGCTGAGGGAGCTGGCTTGAAAGCCGGTTTCCCCCAGCACTGTCTCCGCGTAGGGTAGGGGCGGTAGAGGCTCAGCGGAAACGGCACGTGCAGGGACTGAAGCAGTTTCCACTTGCGCTGCTTCTGCTGTGGTTCTGCTTTTGAAATGTACAAGAGCCCCGCCAGGGCTCTTGAACATTTCAGAGGCTCAGGTGCTGTCAGCAGTGCAGGGTCCCCTGCTGGTTCCATGTTCCCTACAGGGTTTTTTTTTTTTAAATGTACAAGAGCCCCATTGGGGCAGTTCAAAGGTGGAGGCACCCTTATAGACTAGTCTAATAGTCGATGGAAATCCCATCGACTATTTGATTAGTTGTTTAATCTAAATTTAACATCCCTAAGGGAAAGGTGATAATAGTGAATCCAGGAGTTGTAGAACATTGATAAGGGAAGCAGAGGGATTCTGTTGCCAGTAAAGAAGAGGGTTTTTTTAAGTCTGTTAAGAAGAAAACAAATCCTACTGGTGGTGTATTGGTCCATTACTAGCAGGAAATAGTAGAAATATAAATAATAAAGCAGAAGTGGTAGAAATGTTCAATAAAAAGTTTTTTTTCTTTCCCAAAAACAGAACAGCAGATAATGTTGTCATACCATATGAGGATAACACTTTTTCCCATTACTCTAGTATCTCAGGAGGATGTTAAATAACTTTTAAACTTTTAAACTCAGACATTTTAAATCGGCAGGTTGAGATAACTTACATCCAAGATGTCTATAAGAGCTTGTTGGATCATTAATGTTGATTTTTCAATAAGTCTTGGAACACTAAGGAAGTTGTGAAAGAAAGCTAATATTGGGCTGATATTTAAAAAGGATGAATGGGATGACTCGGGTAATTATAGGCCTATTAGTCTGACACTGATGGAAGATAATGGAGTAGCTGACATGGGATTCAGGTAATACAACATTAAAGGGATGTGCTATATTTAATGCCAATAAACACTGATATGTGGAAAAGAGACCCTGTCATATTTTAATATATTTTGATGAGCTTACACATTCGGTTAATAAAAGTAGTAGTGTTGATTATAATATATTTAGACTTCTATAAGACATATGACTAGGTACCAAATGACATTTTCGTTAAAAAACTAGAATGTTATAAAATTAACACCACTAGGTACCAAATGACATTTTCGTTAATTTTATAACATTCTAGTTTTTTTAACACGGCACACATTAGATGGAGTAAAAGCTGGCTAACTGGTAAACCTCAAATTTTAATTATAAGAGGGAATGA